ACTACAACATATAGTGACCCCAGCATTCATCCCTGCCTGTGGCAGGGGGTCAGGCTAGATGATCTGTTCAGGTCCCTCCTGACCCTAGCTACTTTGAAACTATGTAACAGTACACATCTTAGACCTGCCCTGTAGTTTAGTCAGGGTTATGAAATGAGGTATGCAAGGCTGTTGTTTGTAGTACATCCTTTTCCACACTCCCTGCCCTTCTGCCCTCATTTGTACACTGAACGAGATAGAAAATTACAGGAAGAAAAGAATCACCTTATGGTCAAGGCAACTGAACACTGTGCTGGAGAACCGGATCGTCTCAGCCAAAAGAAAAAGATAAAAGGGATGTGTTTCTTTAGGCTGTGTCTTTATTAAGGTACTTGAGAACCTACTTAGTAATAAATTGTACAGTGCAATAGTCATTCTTTCCTTAATCTTATTTGGGAGGGCTGCAGTCAGTACTTCCTCCTTTCAATCTCATTCCAGCTCACTGCTTGAATTTTACCATCTTCCATTTCTGTACAGGATAAGGAGGTGCTCTACTCTTGTAAGAGTTTAAGGAGTGTTAATGAACATGGAAGCCCAGGAAGGGTGGGTGTTTCTTAAGGGACTAGTCCTGCAGGCACAGAAAAGGACCATCCCAGTACACATAAAAGGGGGTCAAAAAGCAAAGAAACCCTCTTAGTGGAGCAGGGAAATCCAGGAGAGCCTGGAGGGAAAAAAAGAGGCCTACAGGCTGTGGAAGCAGGGGGCTGCTACCAAGGAGGAGTATACCTGCTTGGCTTGATCTTGCAGGGAAACAGTGAGGAGAGCCAAAGCCGAAATGGAGCTTAGGCTGGCAGCAAAAGTCAAGGATAACAAAAAGGCATTATTTAAGTACATAGGAAGCAAAAAGAAGATGCAGGGTAATTTAGGGCTTCTTCAGGACTAACTAGGATAACTGGTAACAGATAGAATGGCCAAAACAGAGCTTCTAAATGATTTCTTTGCATTCTGTATTCTTGGACACAAATACAAATATGTATCCCAATGGGACCTTAGGTAAGCCCAGTATAGTGGTGGACGGGTGTTTCTACCTGGAGTAACATGGGCAGCGGAGTCCCCTAAGGCTCTGTCCTGGGACCGGTAGTATTCAATATCTTTGTTAGTGACTTGGACGAGGGAGTAGAAAGCACCCTGTCCAAGTTTGCTGATGACACCAAACTGTAGAGAGAGGTACACAAACCAGATGGCAGGGAATGAATCCAGGTTGATTTGGACAGGCTAGGGCAATGGGCCGAAGAGAATAGGATGCAGTTTAACAAAGATAAGTGTCATGTGTTGCACCTGGGGAGGAAGAATCATCAACACTCCTACAGCGTGGGAGGGACCATTTTAAGTAGCACAACTATGGAAAGGGATCTCAGAGTCATAGTCGACTCCAAAATGAACATGAGTCACCAATGTGATGAGGTAATAAGTAAAGCTAACCTCACCCTTTCTTGCATAAGTAGGGGCATCGCAAACAGGTCTAGGGACGTGATACTTCCCCTCTATGCGGCATTGGTGAGGCCACAGCTGGAGTACTACGTCCAGTTTTGGGCACCGCACTTCAGAAGGGATGTGGATGGCCTGGAGAGGGTTCAGAGGAGGGCCACTCATCTGGTTAAAGGCCTACAGAAAAAACCTATGTGGACCGTTTGGGAGACCTGACCCTCTTCAGCCTCCACAAGAGATGGCTGAGAGGTGATCTCATGGCTGCCTACAAACTCATCGGGGGGACAACAAGAAATAGGGGATACAATGTTTACCTGGGTGCCTGTCGGGGTAACTAGAAACAATGGCCACAAACTGGAAGAGGGCAAATTTAGTTAGACATCAGGAAAAAACTCTTTACAGTGAGAGTTGCTAAAATATGGACTAGGCTTCCAAGGCAGGTGGTGGTGTCCCTTTCCTTGGAGGTGTTTAAAAGGAGATTGGACAAACACCTGACTGGGGTCATCTGACCCCAGCACTCTTTCCAGCCCAGGGCAGGGGGTCAGACTCGATGTTTCCTGCCCAGGTAAGGGGGGGGGTTGGGCTCGATGATCTAATAGGTTCCTTCCAACCCTAACAACTATGAAAGGTAGTTGTCTCCCTTCTGTACCAGATGATATTAGCCCAAACTGTCTCTTCCCAATCTCTTCCCTTAGGGGAGGGCTCCTAGGTCCGTCTATTTGCACTTCCAGTTTATTAAGAAGAAGTACCTGCCATCTGCTAAATTGTGACAGTTTAAACTTAATCTTTTGACCTAGCCATCTGGGTCCCTAACATGCTTTGGAGAAAATGGAAAAGAGCCTAGTCCTGGTACATAAAATGACTAAGAAAATTTAGAAAATTCCTTACCAGTCCCAGAGGAAGAAAAGTGAGTTGTACAATGTCTCTCAACATACAAAAAAGCTCACAACAGCAACTGATGTCAATTAGGGCTGTAATTTGAACATGTAGCCTCCTGACAGATATGAAAAAAACAGCACTTTACCAGAAGAGAGAGCACATTAGTTCAACCTGGCTCTGCAGCATCTATATAGATCAGGTGCTTCAGCATGCTTTTTGGCGCCTTTATCTAATAGCTGATTTAATAGAGGCTCTGCAGCATCTATATAGATCAGGTGCTTCAGCATGCTTTTTGGTGCTTTTATCTAATAGCTGATTAAATCAGCTGAAAACCCTGGGGAGGGAGAAAACCCTCCCCAACTGAAGTGCCCAATTTATACAGGTGCTGGGCAAGCTGGGTCCAACTAATGTGCTGCCTCTTCTGGGCATGTGCTGCACTTGGTGTGGGGCAGGAGGTGCGCCGAGCTTGAAGTGCTGGTTTTTATTTTTATTTTCAAGTCTGTAAGTGTCCGTAAAGTGTAATTCTAAGTGCTTATTCCTTTCATATTGTTCACCCCAGATCATTAGACCTTGCTTTCTATGTTTCTTAGCTTCCTATATGTAAAATGTACATAGTAACAGCCTCTTATTTCATGAGCTGCATTGAAAATATATGCTTGTGAAGCACCAAGATACTGTATTGATGAGCCCAATAGAAAATCTCCTAAGAAAACTAGTAAATCTTTGTATCATGTTAGCCTTGGGTGCTCTGCCATAAATAAAGCCTGGGTCACATGCTAAACAGTTAGGCTAGAGCCAAATATTGAATAGCTGCTCATCATAGAGTCATAGATAGATAGATTCATAGATGCTAGGGTCGGAAGGGACCTCAATAGATCATCGAGTCCGACCCCCTGCATAAGCAGGAAAGAGGGCTGGGTCTAGATGACCCCAGCTAGATACTCATCTAACCTCCTCTTGAAGACCCATCCTGTAAGCATGGTCCATCTGGATACACTGAATAAGCAGTGAAAAAAGTTGTACGTGATCATATGATTAAAGACTCTACACAATGCGCACATACAAAGGAAACAACAAAAGGTTGTTCTGACAACTAAATATTTCCTAATTTCTTGGTGCTTGACTTGCAACCTTAATGATCTTTTAACAAATATTTTGGTGTATTACAGAAAATACATCAAATATACTACCTGGTAGCACTACAATTAATATTATTGAAATGCAGTATTTCTCTTTTTCCACTGTTACTTGCTGTGTGATGAAATACACACTTACAATATATGTAAACAAGGGGATAAATTTAGGATTTAAATCGAAACAGTGATATTCCTAATTTCTGTGCTTGAAGATCTGTATTTAAGATTGTAATAGCATAAATTTTTCACTTAAACTACAAGTCAAGTGTGTGTTGATTTCCTCTCCCCGCCCCCCCGCAATATTTTATGTGGGATTATTCTTTTTGAATACTTAATAGGAAAAACTGTTCTTTCTGGGACTTAAAACATGCATAGTCATGCTGAATAACATTCCAATTAATATTTACTAAAATAGCATTCTTAACCTACTGCTTCTATGCATTTCAAGTGCTTTCCAGGACTGTTATCTCCTTTGATCTTAGAGAAGATATAAAAATTACATACCAGTCTTCACTGTTTAGTGCATAGCTTGCTTGTTCTTTTGCCTCTTTCTCTTGTTCTTTGTATGGCTTCTTATGTCACATTTCCCTTCAGAAGTGTAGATCAGTGTCATGACAAAAATCCTTACCTTTGTTATTTATACTGCACCTTTTCTTGTCATTTTTGAAGAATTTTTCTTTAATGTTTTAGTGCAGGAAGTCAGGTTTTACCCGACGTTAGCAACAAATGTATTACTTATTGACAGCAGTACAATTAGGAGGGTTTTTCCTTTTTTTTTTTATTTTAAGGCAACAGGTAAAGAATTAAGCTCTGTAGGGTGTTCTTTTTCAAGTTCAGGTTGTGGGAAAAATGTATTGGATGGTAGCTAACCCATTTTTTGTTACTAAATAAAAACTCAGCTAGCAAATGAAAAATTAGTTTTTCCCTGGTATAACAGACTTTACATGGCTGCATGCTTATTTTTTAATGCTACATTAAGAAAAAATAGATCTGAACTACTGCATGAACTGTTGAAAATTACTTTTGGAGTCTCCAAATTCTTGGAAATGCAGTAATTATAATAAAGAGCTATATCGTCCATGTAGTATAGGATTTTAGATTAGATTGTTATGCAGGAATCAGATAGCTTTGCATTTCTGCAAATGTTCTTTTTATAGCACTTAGTGTTAAAATCGCCAACAGAAGAAGATGATAGTTTGTGATTATTTTTAATGTATGCAGAACTTTGTTTATATATGCCAGAGGTGTTTCAGTATCTATATTTTAATGTGTGCTTGTTAAGTTTAATAACAAATTTTGTACTTTGTTTTCATAGGTTCTTCAAAAACAACTAGACGATGTCAAGGAGGAAGAAATATCACTGTTAAGCAAGCACAAAGAGGTGGAAAGTGAGCTAGCAGCTGCTCGGGAACGCTTACAGCAGCAGGCCACCGATCTTGTACTCAAAGCCAGTATGTATGTCTGTATGGCTTTATATGTATTTAGTCTATAAATGAACCTCAAATATTAATTCAAGATTAATGTAATCTTTCTCTTTCCATTTTGTATTTTAAATTATGCAGATATGCAGTGCCTAAAAGGTATTTTACATTATTGTAAAAGGTTCTGAAAGATTTGTATTTCTTTCTTTTTTTTTTTTTTTTAAAGCTTATTCAGTATGCATTTTTACTTAAGATTCTTGTCCAAATTCACCTGCAAGTGTGCATGTGCCTCAAGCACACAGGTTCAGAGACTTTTTGCCTTAGCAGTACCTGTGCAGTGTGCACGTGTCCTGCTTCTATTTGAGTTTTGCCCCAAAGGCCTAACAAGATGCTATGTACTTCCTGTTTCTCAGTTCCTCTTAACCACTTTTGGCTCAAGATAGGGCTTCTGCTGTCAGGCTGAAACTTTTGGCCACTTTGAAAACATTTTGAAAACATTTTTAGATGGTTAATAAGTTGTTAGTATTTCTCTAGTCTGGGGTGGCCAACCTGCGGCTCCAGAGCCACATGTGGCTCTTCAAAAGTTAATATGTGTGTCTTTGAATCTTTGCACAAGCACACGGGGACCAGCTTCCATTTCTATTTCTATACCATTTGGAAACTGGTCACTGTATGCTTGTATAAAGATTCAAGAAGGCGCACATTAACTTCTGAAGAGTCACATGTGGCTCTGGAGCCGCAGGTTGGCTACCCCTGCTCTAGTCCCTGTTTTATTTCTCCTGATTTTTGTTTGCCTATTGACAAGGCAGGAGAACAATCTGACATTGGTCATGTGGCTTCCATTAGGTTAGCAAGGCTCCAATGAGGACCTGCCTACATTTTAAAGGCTGTGTAGGGCAGTGGTTTTCAACTTTGTTGGACCACTGAGACTGAGGATTGCCTTGAGTCTTGTTGGACTCAAGGCAATCCTCAGAAAATGACAACTGTTAGCTTTCCCTTATTTTTTGACTATGGAAAAATAATAGAGCAATTCTTCTGTTAGAAAGAACTCCACATCAGGGCAGAATGTTTTTAACTGTATGACTCATGCATAGGTGCTTCACACCTAACTGAGCTAATATTCCATGGAAATCCATGGCATCCTTAAAAGAATCTCAGAGTACCTCAAATTGCTGCTATAGGGTAACCCTTTCCTCACTTAGGGTCACATGCTAAACAGGTAGGCATGTATACCTGACCCAGAGAGAAAACATAAATACCAGACTAAAGAACTCCTGTTCGGCCCACTTCATTTGTCCTTCCTGTGAAGCACTGGGGGAAAACATTCTTCCATAATAGGCATCGATTTTCATTGACAGGCTTGTCAAAGCTTCAGTTTTTGGGCAAGAAGTAAAATATTTGATAAAACTTTTGAGAGATGCCATTACCTCCCAAAATACCAAATAAGTTTTCCACATTTTGGGGATTGATTGCATGGCCCATTTTTGGGCAGCAATGGCGCTGCATATTATAGCTTCAGTGCAATCACAGCTGCCTACAGCATTTTGTTCATTCTGGTGCCTACTCTCAATATCCTTCTCCATGAATCTGCCATTTAGGAAAATTAAAATCATCTTCTTGTTCACTTGGTCTCTTCGGTTCTGCTTTCATCTGACACTAAAGACAAAAGATACTAAGAAACATGGTATAAACAGGAGGCAATGTATTTCATTTATTGAAATACTAATGAAATTATTGAGGAATTTTGGGAGTAGCCAAATGCAAAACCTGTTCTGCCAGTGATCACTTCTAGATTATTTGAGTTATGTAAACTCTGGAGCTCTTTGTAACTTCTTTACGTAGATCAGAGGTGTCCAACCTTTTTGAATGTGGGGCCGGATCACGAACTTTTTATCACCCAGTGGGCCAGTGAGCCATATTCAAAGACCTCACAGGAAGTGACATCACATCGGGAAGTGATGTCACGTGACCTTTGACACACCTCCTTCTTGAACAGCCCCAATCAGCTCCTCTGTTCAGGAGCTGGAGAAATGGGCAAGCAATCAACAAAAGTGATTTCCCTTGCTAAAATCTGTTAGAGAGCTGTAGCTTCTCACTGGTTTCAGCTCCAGCCAAAATTTTTCCACCACTATCTTGCGAATTAGCAACTCTGAGTATCTGAACCAAAAGAGATGGTGGCATTAAAAGGTAGGAATGTACCTAATGAAAAAGACAGGAGAAAATGAGAAAGAAAGGAGAAAGAACTGAAAATGCCTGAGTATGTTGTCCCTGGGCCCACCCAAGGTACTTTTCTGAAATTCAATAGGAATTAGTGTATCATTAAAAAAAAAAAAATCAACAAAAATAATCTAGACTATTTATCCGTAGGATGACCATATATCCTGGACTGGCTGAGACAGTCCCAGATTTTATAGGCTGTCTCAGTGTCGCAGCCACTGGAGAAAATTTAAGCAAAAGTACCAGATTGGTGGGAATCTGGGAGCTGGGGGGTTGGGTGTGTGCGTATGTGCATGCAGGTGCATGTGTGTGTGCTTCCAAGCACACGTGTGTTGCAGCAGACAGAGCCAAAGCAGCTAATGGGATGTGCTGGGAAGCGCACACACATGCTCATGCATGCACACATGCATGCACACACACACACACAGCCCCAACCCGGCCCCAAAGGGCTCCCAGCTCCGCACACGAACTTACCCCATGCCTCCGTCTGCCATGGACCGGCCCCGAGGTGCCCCCAGCTCTGCACGGGATCTTCCCCCGTGCCTCCATCCAGCCCAGCCCCAAGGTGCCCCCAGCTCCACATGGGAACTTACCCCATGCCTCCGTCCGCCCCAGCCAGCCCCGAGGACCCCCAGCTCCACGTGGGAACTTCCCTCATGCCTCCATCCACCACGCATGCAGGCAGGGCGCGGGCCATGCTGCAGCTCCGCCGGCCATGTGCTGGGGACAGAACCCTTCCCCAGCTCATCCAATCAGGTGCGGCTGGCGCAGCCCTCAGGGCAGCTGCGACAGGACCCAGCGCACTGATGAGCTGGGCCCCACAGGGGTAAGCAACTCCCCTCCTCTCGCTGCCGGCTGCGCCCGCAGACCGACCCTGCCCGCCTCACTGCCACCGTGGCTCCGCGCTCCGCCGCCATGGCTCTGCGCTCCACCCCAGCTGCCACCACGGCTCTGTGCTCCACTGCCATGGCTCTGCGCTCCGCAGCAGCCCTGCGACTGCTGCCACCATGGCTCTGCGCTCCATTGCTGCTGCCGCAGCTCTGTGCTCCGCAGCAGCCCCTCCGCCGCTGAGGCTCTGCGTTCCACCGCCGCCGCCACAGCTCCGCGCTCCGCCGCCATGGCTCTGCGCTCCACCACTGCTGCCACCACGGCTCTGCGCTCCACCGCCGTGGCTCTGTGCTCCGCCTCCGTGGCTCTGCGCGCCACCATGGCTCCATGCTCTGCAGCAGCCCTGCCGCTGCAGCTCCACTCTCTGCCGCCACCGCCATAGGCCAGATAAAATGGCTTGGCGGCCTGCGAGCCATATGTTGGACAAGCCTGACGTAGATGAAAGCTGATCAGCGAGGAAAACTAAGTCCACCTCTGAGGACTTAGTTAACAAAAAAGAAAGATTTCCATTTGATTTAGCCTGGGAAAGAATTCCCAAAGGGGCACCTGTCTTCCAACTTTGTCTATAATACTGGCATAAATCTGATCTTCCTTTCCTTATCTTCTTACCAGGAGTCTGAATAGCAGATGGACTCCATGGTTTTGAATTCTATTGCAGGGTGTGGGATTTTGAAACCAAGAAGTGCCTTATATGTACTTCTTTAAAAACAAGAGCTCTCATAGTTAACACTCTCAAATGGGAATTCTTGAGGTCTTTCTTGCATATAGTTCTCTACAGTTTCAGTGGTTTCTGTTTATTGGACAACTGATTCACACAGTTGTCTCCTACACTAAGAGAAACCTACTAAAAAGTAAACTCTGAGGGGAAGGGCACTGATGCAAGAAAGTTCCAGTGTCACACCACATCACTGGCACATCCCGTGAGTCAGTTGTCTAATAAACAGGAACAACTGAAGCTGTGAAGACCTATATGTAAGACATATCTCAAGAATTCCCATTTTGAGAGTGTTATGTGTGAGAGCTCTTGTTTTTAGAGGAGAACTATAAATAAGACAGTATCTATAAAGAGTCTTAAAGTAAACTTTTCAGTAGGTTTCTTTGCCCAAACCCAGATCTGTAGATCTTCTAGAGAATCTAAAATGGCATAAGCTAAGATTTAATAGCTGTGCCCTCTTATTCTATCGAGTACCAAATTTCAGGTACCCCTGTGAGGAATCTGTTTGCTTAAGGGAAGTTCAATTTCCATCTTTCTTTGTCATATGTAACAAGAGCTCACAGAAAGATCAAAACCAGTTCTGAATTTTAGGATTTATGATTATGGATACTATTATTTCATTTCTAACCCTATGGAATCTAAAAATCACTGTTAAGATCCTCTCCAACATACTGACCTCTGTTACCACATCTCACATTGTAGTATTGAATGATCCACACTATCATTTTAGATTGGGGCTGTCCAACTGGCAGCCTAAAAGAAAAAGGAAAAAGTCTTCCCTTAGTTGAAGGTTTCTCTTCAGGTTTCACTTTTTCCCCTAAGACAGCTTCTTCCTTCCCAGGCCATTCTGTTGGAAGTGCTTTTTTCTCCCATTTTCTGTGACATATCTATTGAGGCCAGTACTGTTTCCAGCTTGAACTACTTCAAATCTGCATTCAAATTTATAATCATATAATGACTACAGCAAGGATAGGTCTCTCTCCTCCTAGGAAGTGGATCATATGTGTTAAAAGATGGTTTACTAGCACAACTTACTGATTGATAGATAAAAGGAATACTTTCAAATGGCAAAATATTATGATAGAATATCTGACATCAAAGAATAGGAGTGCTGGGACATTCTGCATTATTTCTTCACTGCCACTTGATGAAATATTACAAGGACACTATCATTACATAGTCTTATCATTACACAGATCCTTCTTTAAAGGAAAATTATAAACCCCATACATCAGGTCCACAGGGACATAGAATTGTGAACACGCTGGTAGGCAGGAGCCCAATTAAAAAGGATCATGATAGAATGGAAAGCTGGGCAGAAGCCAACAGGATGAAGTTCAGGCTGACAAATGTAAAGTGCTGCTCTTTGGGAAGAATAATTAAAGCTACATATACAAGAGGGGGACAATTGGCTGAATGGCAGCACTACAGAGAAGTATTAGGGGTACTTTTACACGTGCTCTGGGGAAAGGGGTGCTTTAATTAACTGCTCTAATTAAATTAGCTCTAATTAGTGCCTTAAAGCCTCTCCAAGAACCGCTGTAATTAAAGCACAGCCACATCTCATGTATCAGTGTCTCCGCACTTAAAAATGGCAGGTGGGGGCACTTGAATTAAACCTCATTCAACAAGCTTTACTTCAAGCACCCCATCACCATTTTTAAATGTGGGGATGCAGATACATAAAATGCAGGGGACTGCTGGAGTGTGGTAATTGCCACGCTCCAGCAGACTCAACTGAGTCTGCTCCGACACGCTGGAATTCTAGTGCATTGGAGCAGTCTCTGTGCTCATGTATAGGTGCCCTAAGAGTTTTGGTGGATCACAAACTCAATATGAGTCTGTGATGTGGCACAGCTACACAGAATGCAAATGCTGTTTTGGGCTGCATCAATAGGAGCATTAGATGCTAGACGCAGGAGGTGACAGTGCCTCTTTACTCGGCACCAGTTAGGCCTCCTCTAGAGTATCATGTATAGTTTGGGCTTCACATTTTAAAAAGACATGGAGAAGTTAAAGAGCATCTAGGCATAGGTGACAAAAAGGGCTTGGAAGCAAGCTATATGAAGAAAGATTGAAAGGTCAGCTTGCAGAATAGGCGCCCAAGAGGGGACATCATAGCAATCTTCAAATATCTCAAGGGCTACCAGAAAGAAGAGGGAGAGCACCTTTTCTCTGTTGTTGCAGAGAGCAGAACATGGACCAATGGCTTGAAGTTGCAGTAAAGTAGGTTTACCCTGGATAGCAAGAAAAAATTCTTCACTGTTAGGACAGTAAGACAGTGGAACAGACTGCCTAGGGAAGTTGTGGAACCTCCATCGTTGGATATATTCAAGAAGAGTTTGGATAAATATTCATCAGGGATACTCTAGGAGTAGCTATGCCTGGAGTGCTCTCTCAAAAGCAACAGTTAGAAGCTTATAAACTTACTGGATTCCATTTTAAAAGTAGTTAGGGATTGGGTTGGGGGGGAAGGGGGGAGTTGACTCCACAACTCTAATACGAAGGCTGTTTTAGAATCATTGCTCTAATGGTTAGAAACCTTCTAATTTCTGGTTTAAATTTATTCACAGCCAGTTATACCATTTGCTTTTGGATAAACATTGTTCTTCAGCGCAAATATTCTTTCCCTCACTGAGATATATTCATTTGGATTCCTCTATATGTCTACTTGTGCCAGAGGATTGGAGATTCACAGAAGTTTAAGGCTGGAAGGCACCTTGTGAGAACATCAGATCCAGCCTCCCTGCTCTGGGCAGGAAAGACTGCTGGGGTCAAATAACCCCAGCAAGGTGTGCGTCCAGTCTCCTTTTGAAGTTCTCCAGGGTAGGTGCCTGCACCACCCCTTCTGGGAGTCTATTCCAGAGTCTGGTCACACAAACCATGAAGAAGTTTTTCCTTGTATCCAGTCTAAAACCTTCTTCTAGGAGTTTATGACAGTTGCTCCTAGTTTTCCCCTGAGCCAGTTAGATGGGCTAACATACTACCTGTCTTTACAAAAGGGAAAAAGGAGAACACAGGGAGTTACAGACTGGATAGCCTGACTTCAATACTTGAGAAGTTACCAGAGCAAATAAGAAATCCATCAATTTGCAAATATATGAAAGAGGAAGGGGTGACCCTAGTGGCCAGCATAGATTGATTAAGAACAAATCATGTCAAACCTATTTGATTTCCATCTTTTACAGGGTAGCTAGTTGAGTGGTTGAAGGGAATGCAGTCAACATAATGGTACTTGAACTTTAGTAAGGCTTTAGATATAGTCCCACATGACATTCTCATAAGTCCACTGGAGAAGTGTGGCCTGAATAATAGTAATGCTAAATGGTTAAATAATCACAAGCAAATAATTACTAATGGATTGGTATCCGAAGGGCAGGGATTTTCAAGTGGGATTCCATAGGGTTCTGTTCTGGTATGACTTTTTTTTTATTAATCACTTGGATGTAGAAATAGAGGGGTGGTTGAGAGAACAAAGTATTTGCATTTAGAGGAAAAGAAATTAAGGGGGAGACATGACAGAAGTTTTTAAGTATTTTAAAGCTTCCCCCAAAGGAAAAGAACAATGGTTCCTTGCTGCATGGGGCAGGACATAAAGCAATGGGCTTAAACTGCAGCGAAGCAGATTTAGATTAAGTCTCAGAAAAATTCCTTACTGTAAGAACAGTAGGAAAGTGAAATAAAGTGCTAAGGAAAGTTATAGAATCCCCTTCATTGGAGGCAAGCAGAATGTCATACCCTTTTTTGGAACTCTGCCATCAGATGTTCAAGTGAAGGAAGGGCCATGAGAGCACTCAAATAATAAGCGTTATGAGAAGATTGCACCATTAGAGCTTCACCTCTCGAGCATCCCATGAATGTACAGAGTCCCTTTTGCAGAACTTTAGTTACAGGTAAGAACCTTCATATCTGAGATGTTAAATAGCAGTTTTCTTTTTGTAGGCCATATTGGGATGCTTCAAGCTACTCAAATGACACAGGAAGTTACAATAAGAGATGTGGAAACAGAAAAATCTAGATTAAAAGAAAAGCTATCTCAATTGGAAGAGGAAAGGAATCTGTTGCAAAGCAAAACACAGAGTCTGGATGAGAGACAGAGACAGCAGGTTCTGGCACTGGAGAAGGTAAAAAAAATAGATTTTTCTATTTCAGACAAACAAACAAAAGTCTTACATTTCTAAGAATTCTTCTATTTCTACACGAGACAACATAGCACAAAAAGAGATCATAGATTTTAACATCTAATTCTTTACCTATATGAGGGGGCAAACATAAAGTCAACAAGCTAGACCTGGCCCATAGAGCTGTATTAACTGACCCATGGATCTCTGAACCAACCCTAGTAACCATGTGGGACCTGCATGTGGCTAGACCCAGCACTCTGTGTGCTACGTACAGCACAGGGATCAGTCTGGACCACATGCTGCATGCAGCAGCCATGCCAGACCAGCTCTGCACATTGGCTCTGGACCTGATCTGAATCAGGCTGTGTTGCAGGCAGCATGCAGGGCACACCTCATGCCATGTGCAGTGTGCACAGCCTTCCCGCCTGTATACTGAGTGCAGCATGCACCAGCCCCAAGGCTTACTCTGCATTCAGTGCACACAGTACAGGGCTGCCTATGGTCTGATCCAGGATGGCCCTGGAGCCAGTGCACAGGGTCAGTCCAGTGAGGTGCTGCATACAGCTTGTGTCCCGGACCACTTTGTGCTGGATGCAGTGCTGGGTCCAGTCCACATGTTGGGTGCAGGGCGAGCCCTGGAGCAGAGGTGGTGCATGTTTTATGTGGCCCACAAACTGACCCAGCAATGCTCATTCAGCCTTCAGGGCCAGGTGAGTGTGACACCCCTGCCTCTCTATAATTGTAAAAGGTTTTTGAGTCTAGTGTATTTTGTGGTGTAATGGGTGTTTGTGTGTTGTCAGTAAAAATGTTGTAGTGGTTTTTTGCTTTTTTCACTTTGAAGTAAAAAAAAGACACTTAAGCAAAGGTGAGTTTGCAATATTTGTTTGGCTTTTACAGAAGGTAAGTGAAGCAAGGGAATCGCAACGAGAATACTATGAGAAGGAGCTTATAAAACTGCAAACAAGATTGGAAGGAGAGGCTGCACAGTTAAAGGAGGCTCATTCTAAGACCTTGGAAGAACTGGCATGGAAGCATCATACTGCAATTGAGGCTGCACACAGCAATGCTAACAAGGATAAGAAAAAGCTACAGATAGTAAGTAGAAACAGTTATGCATACTCCAAGCACAAAAGGATTTTGAACCTTGCCCATGAGAACTGGTATAATTTGAACTTTGTTTTGGCTGACTTACTCGACTGCTGCTTTATAGCTATTACTTTATACTTATAACTACCAAAGGAAATGTTGGCTTCTTTTCAAATAAAAATTCAAAAAGTATGTCTCTTCTGTCCATAAAAAGGGAATTAACTGTTGTAGTTTACAAAGGAAATAGACCATTTTAAGTAGATTGAAAGGGCTACAAAAAACAAGTAGACAGATGATGCACAGCATAGCACTAGAAATCAGTCTGAATCATACGTAAAAATAATTTTAGATGCATGAAACCTTGGTAATTGGGAGCTATGTAGGTTGAATTGAGATGAGCAACACAGGTAACATCCACACAACCTGAAAATAAAGGCCTGTGTTTAATAGCATTCCTTCATTGTGGTTGCTATGATATTCCATTAGGTTGGAATGCTATGTACTTTTTCTTAATGCTCACTGTTCAGACTTCTATAAATGTGAACATCCTGGTTCAGCCTTTAGCCAGCTCTTGTCATGGATTTTTGTTTGGGTTTAAGTGCTGCCAGCATAATATATTTTTCACAACTCATAAAGGTTATGCATCTCTCTCCAAACAACTGCTCTACCTGTAAACCAACCTCACAGCCCCAGTGTCTCTTTCATCTGCTGTGTAAGGTCATGTGCTGGACCACTGGATCATTAATTAATTTAACCCTAAAGTTATATATTGAACCTTAATTTAGAGTGTGTCTTTCAAAAATGCCTTAGAGGATTTAGAATCACAGAAAATGAGGGTTGGAAGGGACCTCAGGAGGTCGTCTAGTTCAGGGGTGTCCAACCTTTTTGAACGTGGGGACAGATCATGAACTTTTTATCACCCAGTGGGCTGGCGAGCCATATTCAAACACCCTCTGTCCTGGGCCAGAGAGACCCTGCCTGTT